TAAGAAGAGACCATATGGGGTTCATAAAATCAAGCAGTGGATTTGAGTCACATTGTTAACTTTACAAGCCACACTGGTAAATGCAGAGACATGACGTTTTATGACAAACCATTTCGCGGTATTAAAAAAACTCACAATAAGAAACTTTTTAAAGACCAAATTACGCCCTTTCTTAGAGTATAAATTAAAAGAAGACATAATTTTATACCCATATTTTCCATAAAATATAATTGAATCTTTTAGGGCATCGAAAATCAATGAGAAAATGCATGCTACTTAAGTAATCATGTTTCTACGGAGCACGGTTTTTAGATGCAGCCGGAAGGCAGTTCGTTCAAAAGCCGGAAACTTCAGCGAATTGAATTATTATAGAATGACGCTGCATTTCCGAGTTTCTGTTGACATTACATGAGTTAACCCGCCTACAGTACGCTGCTTGTTAACGAACTTAGAGTATATGTACTATTTCATGAAATGTTGACCGAAATTTTGGTGTACGTTTTTAGTTTGGAAAGCTTACTTAAGTAGGGTTGTCGTGTCGCATTATGTTAAGACATTCCAGCCATTTCAGAATGCCAACTTTCGAAGGAGCTTCTTGTCAACCGCCTGAGTAAACCATATTACTCAAAAACTGACTACTTAAGTAGTATGAAAATTTCCTGTCGATCCTCGGTGCAGAATAACATTACCGAAAAAGACTAAGGGGAGTGTAATGGTCATTGCTGGCTGGTTAGCCGTCGTTAGCCAGCCATACCCAACCGCGAAGTGTGGAACACCTGGGGCTCGGTCTCGCGATTTGTTGATTAGAAGTTCAACGCCTCTAACCACTGAACCACGGGCTCTTTGTGCTGTTGATTGCGATCGGGAATGTACAATGGCAAAAGAGAGTTCACCGACCATTTTTACGGACATCACTCGTCCCGTTATGCTTTGCGGCTCTCTCTCTCGAGCACAACTAACAACAGCGCAGTGGCTAATAAGCCACAAATAGCCATTCCAGCTTCCCGTGTCTTTGTCAGTAATACTATTCTGCCTGTATTAGGCTCCACCGTGCAGTTGCTGGTTGGGCTCGAGAGAGAGCCCGCAAGGCACAAAGGGGCGAGTGAGTTCCGTAATGCGATCTGTGAGCGCTCCTATGTCACCACATATTCACATGTATTCTTTCATCTACTCATTTCCTAGCAAATCACATCTTCTTTGAATTTCCCGCCCGGAGAAAGGGTATCTTTCGGCTCTGAAAAAGTTTCTACAATAGATGGCCTAACTCATGAAAGTTGTCAAAATTTACGAATGACTGCCAATCACTCGCAAACCGACATCAGTTCATGGATCCAATGTCTATTTTAATTAAGTGCAACTTTGAAAGCATTCACACATAAAAGAAACACTTCTGACCACTGTACAGGAATCCTGATTCGATTTTCCTATTAATGCATGACGAGAGAATGCCTACTATAGAAACAGACCTGTTGACTGAAGATCCCATCACATTGCTGTGAACAGTCGTGTGTGTGTGGAAACCTCAAAGGATGAGGATAAGGCTGAACATCTCTCTTAGCTCGGTTTGGTGCGGTTTGGTAGCCCCACCTGAAGTAAACAAACCCCAGTCACCTCTAATATGGGAGCGGTGGTAATAGGGGTTTTTACAGGTGGGGTCGGGGAACGCACAGGCGATGAGGTCAAATAGTTGTATGCAAAGGACAGCTATTGTGAGTGCGTGGTTGTACTTTCAATGGTTGAGAAATAGTTGCGCTAACCCCTAACCCTATCTCCTAACTCTAACCCCTTTATCATAAACCCCAACCGAGACCCCTAACCTTTAACCCTAACCCCTACCTATAAACCCTAACAACAACCTTTAACCCCAACTACAACAGTATTGTGTCCATCAGGTGGGGCTACCAAACCACACCTTACCGAAATATGGAGTGGGGACGTCGTTGAACTTGTTCATAGATTGAGGTCCCGCAAACCATGACTCACGCAACTCGCGGCTCACGGGATTATCCCCTCTCGCGAGAATTTCGGCCTCATCGAACTTGAATGTGTGGCCGGATCATGTCGAATGGGCCGCGACCTGATAGTTGGCGTCATTTCTCCGTACGACTGCCGCGTGTTCGGCAATTCGCGCCCGGAGCAGTCTTCCAGTTTCTTCGATGTAGTTGCTTTGTCCCCAACTGCATCAGATGCGGTAAACGACTCCAGATGTTTCTTACCGTGGCAGTGGGTCTTTTGGTCTGATCCCCCCGACGCCTTGTGGTGGCCTCCGACCTGTGTGCAACTCAAACCCCAAGTGGTGCGAGAAAGCGACTAACGGCCTGGGAGACATTCTTCATGTACCGGATCGCTCGCCAGAATTTGGTGTCCGCAGGATTTTGCCGCTCGTCTCGTTTGAGCATGTAGAGGTCGACGAAGTTGCGCGGGTAACCATTTTCTCTGAAAACCCGTGGAAGTTATTGAGATTCGACAACCTTGTCTTCCGATTCACTGCAGTGCGTCTCAACACGCCGATATTGCGTTCTTACGTAACTGCGTTTGTGGCGGATTGGGTGGTTGCTGTTGCTGGAGGCTGGTCAGTCCAAGACCTGCATTGAGCTGACAGAAACTGCCCTGGGCGAATACTGTTTCCAGGCGGTTAAGGTCAAACAAAGCCTTTCGGTGATGAATTACGCAGCAGCCTCAATGTCTGATATGTAAGCACATGCACTCATGGCTCCGCTCCCTGGGTTTTTGCTTCTAATCTGTCTAGCTAGCGCAAAATCACCCAAGTACGTCACCTACTTGGCAATTACCTGCTCAAACAGGTCAGTAAGTCTGCTTACTGTTCGTATTATCGATTTCAAACAGGCATATTCCACCAGCCGCGGAGGAAGAGTATGTGAATAAAGTTGTTTTTTCTCATGGGAGGACACTGGCTCAAGTTCTGCTTCGGCATGCCATGCAGCGCGGGTTCTCAGTGCTTGCAAGCAGCATGAGTGAGGACATGATAAAGGAAGACTTCAAGGTGAGCAGTTAGTTGACCACTGGTTTTTCGCAGTACCTCTCGGTGACCACTTCCACCCTCTTTTGATATTTATGAAATGTGACAGTGATTACGAGCAATTACCGAATGTCCAGTCGTAAGCATAAAGGTCGAAAAGACCTTGTCTGGCATACTCGAGGCGAAGATTCCAGTCTCTGTGTATACATTGAAAGGAAAAAACATGGTAGGCAGTGTTTACACCTCTGAAAGGTTTGAAATGCAAGCCACGCCCCTCGACCAAACCGACATTGGCATTATGCTTCACACTGTTTACCGATCGCACGGGTTTTTCGGCGGGTAGGAGGGTGCGACTTTGACGACGACACTTCTCCGTTCAGATGGGAGCCATATTATATGATACAAAACCATACAAATCAATGTTCTAATTGCGTTCATCATTATTTCAGTTGTAGTCACATTGGTCACTATAATCCTAGTTGTCATTGGTCCCCCCCCCCCCGGTACCTTTCCAACAACTGACACCCGTGTACTCTTCTCCACTAGTCCCATCCTACATGGAGATTTCAAGGACAAATTGCCAGTCCAGACCACTTCTATGTGTATTTACTCTTTCACCTGCTCCTGTGGGACAGAATATATTGGTCGCTAGAGCCGGCGTTTGTCCAAAAGAATAAGGGAACACCTTCCAGCATGGTTAGGAAAGGGCCAAATAAAGAACGTCCGCAGCTCTATCCTCGCCCACATGGTAGACGCAGACCACTGTTTAGATGTCGGACAGGCATTCCGAGGGATTTACAAGGTCTCGACAGGCTATCCAAAATCACTTGGACAACGTCTGTTGACAACAGCAGAGGCGGCTGCAATCAGGCTATACAAACCAGTTCTATACACACAAAAGAACTTCGTACGGGTCCCACAGTTACCATGGCCCAAAGTCACCATGCCAGCCACCTGCGTATAATTACCCGTCCCAGTGCCCGCCATCCCCCTCTCCCCTGACACTGACGGCAATTATGTTTTTCACCTCGCCCAACCAGACTCTCCCCCCAAACCCCAGCTACAGAATAACTTCTGATTGCCCGCATTTTCCTTTTAATTATTTCGACAGCACTACAAATGTATAGGCCTGATGAGAATTTCTCGAAAGCTTACGTATGCTCGCCAAATTGTCTTTTGAATATGCTTAACTGTTCATCTGACTGATCCCTCAGTGTAATGCCTGCCCGGTCATAATACCGCCTTGTAAAAGCTCTGTTTTTAAGTGCGCCAAACTTTGGTCTTGAGTCTTCCAATGCGTCGCGAAATGTTCCAGTATTTCAGAAGAGTATTTGGCGAGCTCACGCGTGTTTTTGATAAATTCTCATCGGCCCTGTACATTTATATGGGAACGAGGTACAAACAGAACGAGGTACAAGCAGAAGAGCTGACGGCAGCATCCGAAGAAGCGTCTAACGAAAGGACACCTGGTCTGGACAAAATACAAACCCCCCACAGTTGCATACCCCTTCAACAGAAACGTAATCTGGTCCGCTGTTTGGCGCAAAGGGCTAGAAGAAGCTGTTCGGTAGATAGCGTTGATGAAGAACTTAGAAGTATCCGGGATCTGTTTCGCGAGAACGGGTATCCTGACAGATTTATTGTAAGGAATCTTGCCGAACGACCGCCAAAACTCATCATACCGACCGCAGAAAAGAAAGCTCTGTTCCTTAAAGTCCCCTTTTAAGGGGAAGCGGCGAGTGCCCCCCTGAGAAGGCGCCTTGACCAAGTCGTTCCGCTGACCTCGCCAGCAGCAAAAGTTCAAGTATTGTTTTAGATCAACCCCGTCTTACGTGGGGAAGATAAGGATAGGTTACCAGCTCAGACCACCTCCGTGTGCATTTGCTCCTTTACCTGCTCTCGTGGAGCAGACCACATTGGTCGTACGAGTCGGCGCCTATCCACAAGAATACGAGAACACCTGCCGCCATGGCTGAGGAAGGGTGATGTTAAGAGCATACACAGCTCCATCCTCGCACACATGGTTGGTTCTGGGCACCGTGGGGATCCCATTGAAGCCTTCCGTGTGATTTACAAGGTCACACCTAACTACCCTAAGCGACTGAGTCAGCGCTTTCTAGAAACAGCAGAGGCAACTGCCATCAGGCTACAGAGGCCGGTCCTGTGCGCGTAGGTAAACCTCTTGCACACTCCGCGTCTGCTGTGGGCCAAGATCGATTAACTGTATGCAGGTCTCTGCAGCCCGCCCCCTTCCCTCCTCCCCCCCCCCCTTGTGACACAGCTCAACCTAACCCTCACTGCCACTGACTACCTCCTCTCCTCCCCCCTCCACTCTATTCACATACCCCGTTTTTATGGAAGGACGAACCATAATCGATTGCACTTATCACTCATGTGTTCCCATATAAATTTACGGGTCCGATGAGAATTTATCGAAGGCACGCGTAGGCCCGCCAGATACTCTTCTGAATTGCTCCATGGGAATTTTTGCAACTTTGAAACATTCCAGTAGTTGTCGATAGGTAGGAATTTAAGACGCCGAGATGCGGTCGCATGTGTCCTTGAGCGTGGCATCCACCACCCAAGCCTTCGCTATTTGAGTGAGGTCCGATTAACAGCCAGTTTGTCAGTTATCTAACAACCTAATCACAGAAACACTCCAATTGTGCTCCAAATGTAGTTTTCCCCTTCTCACTATCTTCCGAAAATTACTGCAGACTGGGAATCTTTAAATGGTTATTGTTTCAGGGCGATGGGTTACTCGCAGGTGATGAGATTTCAGCAATTAACAACATGCATGCCGGCCATCCAGTAATTAGCGCACCAGTGGACAACAATTCTTGATGAAGGGGAGCGCGGATGATTACTACGGGTATACGGTAACATAACAAAAGAAAGTACGATGCTGTCTCTCTGTTTCATTGGACATGATTTGGTAGCACACTCGTGCTGTGGACATGTGAGCCGCCCAGGCACGTACCAACGCCTCAAGGTCATGCACCCTAGTGTTCGCACGCACGCACCGCAAGTAGCGCAGCCGCCTGCGTGACCTTGACTCGCGTCCCCTGGAATTCGAACTGCTTGACTGGACTCTTCAAGCCCGCGCCTACCAACAAGGACCTAGGCACTCCCACTAAACAAATTCCACCAGCCCTGGCTCTCAGAGGTCACCGGTTTTGGAGCGATCCATTGTTCTAGAGCACATGCGACGGCTTTCACTTTCATTAGAACCAATTGTTAATCTTTCTGTGGCTCGTTAATTTTAATGACCACCAAAGGTTTTACAAACCAAACATAGACAATAAGAAGCAACTCATATTGTGTCCGCATTGCTATTACATCATAAAAAAGTAGTGGAAAACTCTACTTGTTTTCTGTATATTGAGAAATCCAATTAGACTACGTGCGGGTTATGGCCTTGTTTGTGCACAAGTGCAGCGTGATCTTGTTCAGAATCGATTTGGAGTATTTGTGTCAATATGATAACAGGGTGATAGCAATGGCATCGTCTTTGATTCAGAGAAAATGATGGACACGGATAATCTACTGCCCTGATGGAAAGATTTTTTACTGCTTTCAGGTTGGTGTAGTGAAGATCCAGAAGTTGCGATTTGGTGTGTTGAGAAGGACAGGATGTTGTGGATGTCGCAGCACAATATTAGTCACTTCCAACACGTAGCGTCGACACGAAAATTGACAGCGACAATGATAATGATCGTGAGCTCGAGAGGGAGGGAAAGGAGGAAGAAAAAGAAGAAGAGGAGGAGGAGGAGGAAGAGGAGGGGGAGAAGGGGTGGGAGGAGGAGGAGGAAGTAAGCGTATAGTACGTGGACTCATGCCATGCAATTCAGGACCAGACCGAATTAGCATGAGCTAGCACGACGTCCGCATTCTCTCATTGTGGAAGCCCAGTTGACGATTTTGAAGCCAACGACGCAGCGGTAGGGGTACCACTCTGGTGTTCTACGAGGCCCGTAATTTCTGTCCCTTAATTTGGAGTGCAAAGCCAATGCGAAGATATTTCCAGGACTCGTTTGTCCCCATTTATGCCCGAAGCGGCTAAATTCTACTTCACTTATAACTGGGAGGAATTTAACAGGTGTTCTCTTCATAGCCGAGCGCTGACTTGATGTGACAAAACAGAGAAGTCGTGTTTTTAGAAAACTGACCTACCTAACTGTGACAAACTCGGCGGTCTCTGAGGGATTCGAACCCACGATAGCAACGGTAAAGCTTTAGTACAGCTGGTGTTCTAACCACCTGGGCTGCGAGGCCCCGACCAGTTGCCATGAGTTTAGTACCACTTGGAACAAGGTACTCGCTTGACCTACTGCAACTTTTGAAACCCGCCAATTCTGGTAGAGTAAGCTGACTGCCCAGGCAAGATTTCTTAAGCAGTAAGTTTCGAATCCACCGGATGACTACCAGTCGCACATAATTAATAGTGTTCTGGCAAGTGTGATTAAACTTATGGCTCCCGTTCGGGGCCTCCTAGCTCAGATAGATAGAGTGTTCGTTGAGCTCAACTTTTTCCCTTGGTGTTGCGCGTCGGAAGCCCATCGAGGTCGTCAAAACGGAGTCTTATGAGTGTCGAATAAATTATTGTGAAATAGCAAATGGAGCAACGTTCGCATTTAAGCTGACCCTGACACTGTCAGCTTCTTTGATGTTCAAAATGGCTGCCAGACGCACACTATCGCCTGTCGGCCTCTCTCGCGAGTGTCTGCGCGTGCGCACCAGGACTCTCCGGCATTCGCCACTCCGCCCTCAAACTGGCCAATCAGAGCCAAGGTCGAGTAAGGTGTGCCCTAGCTTAAGATGTTTTGGCGCATTTCCCGACAGACACTAGGGACGCCGGTCATCCGGGGTCGAGCGTGGCCTAGTCCGGCTTCCGACTCTCTTCAACCCCTTCTACGGTAATGCTGTACAGAATATATTTTCTTCTCCACGGGCGTCCACCTTTTTCTATTCGGGACCGGACCTGAAGGTCGTAGTGGTTAAGGTCTCACTATGTCTTTGACTGCTGCGATAGCGTGACAATTTGAATGTAAATTTTACTTTTATTACGGTCGCTGCCGTGCAGAGAACTTGGCTCGTCCGTCAGAGCGCCTACGCACTGACTTTCGCTTTTTTTATGAAAATAAAAGTGGAGTGCGATTACTCAGGCTGGAATTCAGAGTTTTCTTTCCTCATGGCAACCAAACAAACAAGCCCGCTCTTAAACTACCACGGTAGGCAGAATGGCATTACCGACAAAGACAGGGGCGACCTTTTGGTTGGAAGTCTGACGCCTCTAACCATTGAGCCACGGGCTTGTTGTCCTACCGGTTGCAATTGGGAATATACAATGATAGAGAAGAGCTCATTGATCGTTTTTTACGGAACTCGGTTGCCCTGTTGTGCCTTAGGGCTCTCTCCTGAGCCCGTGGCTCAGTGGTTAGAGGCGTTGGACTTCTAACTAACAGGTTGCGGGATCCAATCCCAGGCGTTTCACATTTCGGAGTTGGGTGTGACTGGCCGACGACGACTAAAAAGCCAAAACAAGCCATTTCAGTCTCCCCTGTCTTTGTCGGTAATGCTATTCCGCCTAAATCATTCGCCGCTGCGCGGTTGCTTGTTGGGCTCCAGACAATGGGACAAGGAAGTTCCGTAAAGACGATCGTTGAGCGTCACTCTACCATACCACAGTGGACCAAAAGTTGTGCCCTCTCGGACTTTTCGAGGTCGACAACTCTAAAGTCCCCAAATCGCAAGTAAGGGAGACAGAGCTGATTAGATAAACTTTTATTACGATAGAGAGCGCATTCGCAGCATAGCAGGCTGTTGCAACAAGGCGCCCCTTCATACGTGAGTGTGCAGTTGTCGTTCTTTTGGATTCCGGCTCGTGCGCCTAGTTTTGTCCATCTATAGCCAACTAGCGCGCGTAAGCAACCGCGACGAAAACCCCACGGGCAGACTGCCACCGAGGTAGAACTGGCGGAATAACTCATTGCATCAAAAAATCGAAGGTAAGGTCACAATGTGGTTTTTGCGAGACTCGCCTATTCAAACCTGAGGCCATTCTTATGAAATCTTGTTTATGAGGAGCCGGAGACGAGCGTGCACTTGATACGCGTATATGAAGCTTCAGCATCATCAACTACTGCGCTCGAGCTCACAATAGGGTTTTGTTCATCTTTTCTTGTGATTAAAACTCGATAATTTGGACAGCGAGGGAGGAAGAGCTGAAATTCATAATATCTGCCGAGGATGAGAATTTCACAATACATATAATCGATCTATACCAAATGAGGCGGATTCTGTCATCTCGCGCTTAGCGGAGGAAATGACTGATGATGGAGACGAGGAAGCCTCCAAAACGCCAGTGGCCGAGTATGTTTTTCCAGTGTAGACTAGGAGTTTTGTATTTCGGAGCCGAGATGTGCAAAAATCCAAAGCTCCGTACCAGAATGGACCTACGGTGACCCACGTTACTTTAAGCAGAGACAAGCCCGAAGCCAGAGATTTAGAGTTAATCCGGTATGGCTGGAATACCCAAAAGAAATTAATTACGTAGGACATGATGACATATGCTATCTCATCAAGCCCAAAAGGATCCGAGTTGAAACGATGCGACTGCTAACGCGAATTTGAATAGAGCTACGGTGGGGATTATACCATAGTCGAGGGAATTGAGTTAAATGCCAGCCGCGGTTATTCGAAGTAATACCTAACTCTGGTACGGTCGGGCCTTCTCAATTATTTATCTCTTCCAATGACAAAGCAACCTCACAGGTACAGTAAGTGGGCTAACTCATGAAATGCGTTCCCGTTAGGAAAAGATTAACTAATCATCATGCAGCATAATCGTATAATAATTACTCTACCCCAAGATGCCGGTTTTCGACCGAACTTCTTTTCGGTTACATACAAAAAATATACTCTGTAAAAAGTGACTACAAATGTAGCATGCATCTTTCTCATTGATTTTCGATGTCCTTAAAAATTCAATTAAATTTCATGGAAGACATGCATTCTTTTGCTCATTCGGTAGAAAATTGCGCCATTTTCAAATTTTATGCTCGAAGGAAGAGTATAATTCTGATTTAGAGAACTTTTCCAATTTCCGAATAATTTTAAACCCCGACTTGCCGTTACACTTGCATTCAGGGTTTTCAATCTACAAGTCGTAAATTTTGCGCGTACGGAAAATCATGAACTTTTCTACGGTATTTAGAAGAGACCATATGAGATTCATAAGATTTAGCAATGAATTTGAGCTACATTGTTAACTTTAGAAGCCACATCGGTTAATGCGGGAACATGACGTTTCGTGAAAGGCCATGCCACCGTATTAAAAGATTGCACAATTAGAAACTTTATAAAACCGAGTCATACTCTTCCTGCGAGCATAAAATTGAAAAAAGACGTCATTGTCTGCCGAATTAGTGAAAGAATAAATATTTTTATGCATGTTTTCCACGAAATATAATTGAATTATTATGGATATCGAAAATCAGTGAGAAAAATGCATGCTAGTCATTTTCTACAGAATATGGTTTTTCATGTAGTCGAAAAAAGTTCGTTTGAAAGCCGGCATCCTGGGGTAACTGAATTATTATAGAATTATGCTGCATGATGATTAGTTTTACAACCCTTCTTAGTTAATCTTTCCGAAACGAAAACGCATTTCGAAATTTCGGTTGACATTTCATAAGTTAGCCCACCTACTGCAGTCTTATATAGGCGTGCCTTCGAGTGAGGCGATGGCACCCTCAGTAGGCGGAATTGTGAGATAACCTGACAAACACATCGGATCATCGTTCGACATCGATCCATCCTCTCGTCTAATTCCCGACTCAACTTATTCGGCCACTTTGAATATTTAACTCTATGAGGTCCTTTCATTCATTGCCGAGAAAACGATGCTTCAGATGCGCCTAGGTGGCCAAGGGTTTTCCTGTCCACGGTGTCCAAGCCGCGTTGAATAGTTTGAAAGCGGAACTCGTAAGTCCTCATATATTTACGCTGTCAGCAGATTTCTAGACCCTGTGAGTTAGTTTAGTGCATGGACGATGCGATGGTAGGGCGCGCTCACCGATCGTTTTTACGGAACTCACTCGTTCCGTTGTGCCTTATGGGCTCTCTCTCGAGCCCAACCAGCAGCCGCACAACGGCGCATGATATATAGGCAGTATGGCATTACCGACAAAGACAAGGGAGACTGGAATGACCATTTCGGGCTTATTGGACGTTGTCAGCCAGTCATACCCAACCCCGAAGTGTGGAACACCCGAGGTGAGCGCCCCCTACCATTGTATATTCCCGATCGCAGACCGACAGGGCAACGGGCTCGTGGCCCAGTGGTTAGAGGCGTGGACTTCTAACAGACAGGTCGCGAGTTCGAGCCTTGGGTGTTCCACACTTCGGGGTTGGATATGACTGGCTGACGACGGTTAATAAGCCAGAAATGGCCATTCCAATCTCCCTTGTCTTTGTCGGTAATATCATTCTGGGCGATGCAATGTCGACGGCCGCCGCGCGTGCTCAAGGTTCCGCCACGTTATTTTGATTGGTCGAATCAACTGGCCAATGGGTGTGCGAGTAGTTGGTCGCGGACATGCGTCGGTGGTTGGACATTTCCGATGACCGGGATCCTGCAAGGCCCGACATCCGAATCTGTGATTTGCAAAAGTTTATTGAATAGTAAGAGCATCAACATTTTAATTGTACACGAAGCGGAAGCTACTTGACATCATTAGGGAAGGCAAAAGCCCTGAAAGAAGCCATATTGACAAGAAGACTGACATAGTGGACTCCGATAGTGCTTCGCGCCTCAGAATTC